ATTTATTTATTTATTTATTAAAGCAAGGGGTGCTTGAACTTTGTAAAAGTAAAAAATCTAATACAGTGGCCATTACTTTGTTCAAGCTGTTATGGAAGGCCTACGCTTTCTTCTACATTGGTAATTTTTTTTTCTGGGACTGATTTTGGTGATTTGGCCCCACGCGCACAAAAAAAGCAGACCAGCAAGAATGGCCAGGTCCAATTTGAGGTGCTTTTAGGGGCTGTCGTTTGTTACTGAGAGGAACTCCATTTTTCCCGGGCCTCTGAGGCCTAGACATGGCTGCCATTCCCCGTTGCCTAGGCTACCGTTCAGATTTCCCACGATGCATTGCAGGGCTTTTGCCTACAAAGAGGCCAAGCCCCAGGCGAGCTGAAATTCTCATCATTTGCTCTTTCAGTAACTGCAGACTGGCCATTCCCAAAATATCTAGCCTTCTGCCACCTGCCCAAGTTTTCCAACCCCCCCTGCGAGAAATTCAGAGCTTGCTGCCCGCTCTTGGGAGCATTGCAACTGCCCAAGAAATCAGGAGGAGAGGAGCCCCTATTATTTCAGTTATCATACTTCTATGTAAGGAATATGTTCAACTACCCGGGTGCCTAATCTCCCTCCCACCCAAATGCAATAGTGCTTCAAGGCTCATATTGTACCCTTGGGGTATTTTAAGGTTCATACCTATAAAGGGAAAGTGTGGCATGAGGGTTCAAGAGGCACATTAGGATTTGGGAGATGATGGTTCAAGACTTATGAAACCGACAAAGCAATCTGAAGGTTTTGTCCCGCTTCCCTAACGTGGCCTACCTCACAGGGGTAAATAGAGCCACACATACACAACACTGAATTCCCTGGAGAAGAGGTGGAAGAGAAATGGCAATAAATAAAACACAAATCAGGTGGTACCTGGGGAAAGGAGACAAAGTTTGCCACGGGAGCACTGGGACATGACAGAGACACACACACACACACACACCTCTTCCTCCCTCCCAAACATCTCCCCCTCTCACTTACATTTAGCCTCCTTCCAGTCAGTGGAGGTTGTCAAATCCACCTTAGCTGCCATGGCCAAGGGGGGAACCGCTGCCCAGCTCCGGATCCCCTTTGCAAACACCCACTGGGTCGGCACCCGGGGCCACCCAGGAAGCCTGGCTCCACTGCACACCCCTTTCCTTCCACCCCCGGGCACTGTGATGGAACAACTGCCCCAGACTCTCCACCACCTCCCCAGAGTTCCAGGCAGGCTCCGGTTTTGCAGGGACATGAGGAGCCCTGGCATGGTTGCCAAGCCCAGGGAGAGGTGGGGGCACACAGGAATGCACTGGGCTCTTAGCCTCCGGCCCTGGTTGGTCCTCCAGCAGCCGAGAGAAATTCTTCTTCCTTATTTATAAACACCTGATATTTAGGCAGGAGGGTGCTGCTGTGCCACAACACAGAGAGAGAGAGAGACATGCGATGTAGGGCTTTGGCTGTCATGCCTCTTGCCTCCGCCTCCCTCTCCTGCAAAGCCTTCTGGGAAACGTAGTTTCACTCAGAGACTCGGCACCACCACGGGTGTGCAGCTAGCTGCACTGCCAGCCCCGCTTGGCTTGAAGCCGCTTTGACCTGCCCAGATTTTGTCCTTCCCTGAGAAGGGAAGCCTCGACAGCTTTAAAAAAATACACTTTAAAAGAAAGAAAGAAACAGTAGAAGAACTAACATGTTGGCAAAAAATTAAAGCCAGGGGCGGAGTGGTAATACCGGCATTTTAAAGACTGAGATTTGTTCCAGTGAGCACTTTTGTGGATCAGAATCATTTGTCATAACTTCAGAAACTGATTTACTTTGCTCGAAAGATGTAACCTTACATACCAGAGCTTAAAAACTGTACTTGTTTGTACACACATTAGCACCCAAGTTGGAAAATTCTGGAAGTTGTAGTTAAAAAAAGAGAGAGAGAGAAACCCCCAACACCTATTTCCATGTTGTGATTCAGACACATCTCCTGAAGCAGCCATGGGGAAACCTTTTCCTTAGAGTAAGGAAAAGGTGACATGCTCCCAGCTCTCTCCCCCCCCCCAAAAAATAAGGCTCACTAAACTCACAGATCCAGTTGCAAGATAGGTTTAGAGGGAGAAAAGGTGCATTCTCCCCCTAGCCCTAAGTTGCCCCTTTCCTCTTTGCTTGCAAGTTTGCATGACTCATGGGGCTAATTTTAGGCAGGTTGCCAAGGCACCGCCAGGCCAAGACAGACACGACGCTTCTAATTATAGCGAGGAAGCTACAAGGGCAGCTGCCCACACCACCCGCCAATGTCAGGTGATGAAAGTTCATATTATAGCCTAAGCCTCTGCAGATGGAAAGCACAATGCTGTTTTAAACTAAAAGCTAGATTAATGAAGACTATATTTCTTCATTTGAGGATTACCTTAATATCCAGGGGGAAAAACTAGAAAAGGCCATGTGGTTCTTTCATAACACGAATGCAAGATCAGGTGATCCCTTTGTTGGTTATTATGTGCCCTTAAGTCTCCTCCACCCTACGGCGACCCTATGAATCAGGCATCTCCAGAATGTCCTGTCCTCCACAGCTCTGCTCAGCTCTTGCAAACTCAAGGTTGTGGTTTCTTTAGAGAGTCAATCCATTTCGTGTTTGGTCTTCCTCTTTTCCTGCTGCTGTCAACATATCCAAGCATTATTGTCTTTTCCAGACCCACAGTTGATGTTATTTCAATTAAAATATCTTAAATGACTGATGCTTCTTCTAGTTTCACTCCTCCTTCATCTGAATCTAGTCTGTCTTTCTATATACATTCTGCAGACAGCTTGAACAGATAAGGGGACACAATGCACCCTCGTCTGATACCTTTGTCAACAAGAAAGTATTCTGTCTCTCTGTATTCTAATGGTAGTTTCTTGCCCACAATACCTTTAATTAGAAGACCACTGAAAAATAACATGAACTTTCAACACTAATCCATCTTCCTCAGGCTGAACACCAAGATTTTGTGGCTAAGAAAAAACTGTGTTTCCCCCCTCTCATATATGGAATTTTTGGGACTCTTATATATTTTTTCTGCACTCTTGCATTTGTATTATATAAGGACCATATAGCCTTTTCTAATTTTTTTTCTGAATTATAGAGGATACCATGAATAGCCACACAGAGTAGCATCTAGAAGACAACATAATTATGCAAACAAGTTGTTGTTTGCATAATTTATGTTCTAAACTGCCCAGAGAATGCTCTAGCACTATGAACAGTATATAAGTCAAGACAACAACATCCCAATTCTCTGATGGATGCTTGCCACTTTCTTGTATTACCTTTTCCTTGGCCAAATGGAAAACATGAGTTTTAAAAGAAGGCAAGGGGGGGGAGAGAGAGAGAGAAATACAGAATACTGCAGATGGTTCTTCGATTGAAGAGTTGGGAGGAAAAATCCAGCCAACTGTTCTCTGGGGTGGAGTTTGAAGTCACATCCCCAATGACATTGACTGATCGCATCTGAATTCATTTAAGAAGCAGATCTGGCACCATGAATTCTGGGGACTCTTATGTAGATTTTTTTTTCCCCTGCAGTATCCACAAAATTTTGGTGTACAACCTGAAAAAGGTAGATTGCCATTGAAAGCTGTTTGATTTCTTTAGTGGTCTAACAAAGGCATCCCCATTCTTGCAGTTGCCTGAATTTCTCAACCAATGAGAACATTTTGCTTTTTTGTTCTTAGTTTTGCTCCCACGCTTACTGTCTGCCCTCTTAAACTTTCTCTGTACCTAGGTTCAAATTATACGTGTTCCTCCACCAATTAAATGAGCTTGGATTAATCTAATTGGCAGTAATTGCAAATTTAACAACAATTGAAAGTAGAAGCTATTTCTCTTCCTTACGCCAGTAATTGAGGCCGCTGTTACATATTTACAACTATACAAAGTTTAAGCACAAACTTTTTGTGGTTACTAAACAAAGGTTAAGAACCACTGATCTAACTGGCAGTAATTGCAAATTTAACAATAATTGAAAGTAGAAGAAATTTCTCTTCCTTACGCCAGTAATTTAGGCCGCTGTTACATGTTTACAACTATACAAAGTTTAACCACAAACTTTTTGTGGTTCCTCAACAACAATGCCTCTGACACAGACAAGGCAAAAATGTTTCTCAAAAGCAGATAGTGCTACATGTAACAAGGCTTACAAAAGACTTAAAAGCTAGGGTAAATTCCACTGAAGTGAATGGATTTTACTTCTGAATGTGAACACTTAAAAATAGTATAGCAGCATATAATGCAGTCTTTTTAACCCACAAATAATCTAAATTATAACTACTACCATTCCCGGCTATGCAGGTGGAGCTGTGGGAGTAGCATTGGAAGAGCTATGGGTTCCCCATTGCTACCATAAAAGACTCTTGCCATTCAAAGCAGACAATACTACACCAAGTCAGCTACCTCAGGCTTTCTAAATCAGTGAGTGGATGGCTATGCAGGTGGAACTAGCGTTGGAAGAGCTATGGGTTCCCCATTCCTACCATAAAAGACTCTTGCCATTCAAAGCAGCCTTTCTAAATCAGTGTCTGGAGTAAAACTATTTAAACCCTCCCATCCACTAGCAAGGCTTCTGGGTGCTGCACTATCACACATCTGAAGACCCCTCTGTCGTCCCCTTCTCCTCTTGCCTTCACACTTTCCCAACATCAGGGTCTTTTCCAAGGAGTCTTCTGGAGTAAAGCTCTTTAAATGCTCCCATCCACTAGCAAGGCTATTGGGTGCTGCAGTATCACACATCTGAAGACTCCAAGTTTGACAAGGATAATCTAACTTCTAACCTAAGGCATCTTCATAGTCTTTTGTTTTCCCAGAACAAGCTTGAACAGTGATGACATCTGAACGCAAACCTGAGAGGAGGAAGGGAGGCATAGAGGAGCAAAGAGATGGGATAAAGATGGCTAGCACCTCTGCCTCTTCCAGAGCCATCTTTCCCCGTCTGTCTTGTGAGAAAGATCCATATCACTTCTCTTAACAGTAAGAAAAGTTTTGTTTTGCCAGAACAGGATAACATGGTTAGAGGACTGGAAATCTTACAACATGGCTTACTGTGTTTTTGCCAATGAATGCTCAGAAAGATCCATATCACTTCTCTTAACAGTAAGAAAAGTTTTGTTTTGCCAGAACAGGATAACATGGTTAGAGGACTGGAAATCTTACAACGTGGCTTACTGTGTTTTTACCAATGAATGCTTATATTGTATCAAGCCATCGTTCAGAAAGCTGTAACCCCAAATGAAACCTAAATTATAAGGAAATAATAAAATTTAAAAAAGCTTCCTTAAAGAGAGCAACCCTTTCTCACTTCTCAATAAATAAATAAATAAATAAAAATATCTCCATATTGTACCAAGCCATCGTTCAGAAAGCTGTAATCCCAAATGAAACCTAAATTATAAGCAAATAATAAAATTAAAAAAGCTTCCTTAAAGAGTGTAACCCTTTCCCACTTCTTGTATCAAGCCATCGTTCAGAAAGCTGTAACCCCAAATGAAACCTAAATTATAAGGAAATAATAAAATTTAAAAAAGCTTCCTTAAAGAGAGCAACCCTTTCTCACTTCTCTGATATGCCTACAGCTGCAGTTAGGATTCAGACATAGGATACTGAGCTTTTTTTAAAAAAAAACGCAAAAGTACATATTTAATTTTAAAAAAAGAATTAAACAAAAAGTGAAGTTTTACAAAAGAAACAAGCAAGGGGAAAAATGAAAAGGAAGCAGATGAAATAATTGCGTCACGCCTTGACGTCACCAACAAAAACAAATCAAGGGGGAAACTAGTTTCCGGTTCGCCTTTTGGTGACGTCACTCGACTTTATCCATTCAAGGCCGTCTCAGGAGGCGAAATCCGAAAAGCCCAATCAAAGCTGTATGCGGAAAGAGCCAATGGGCGCCTGCCGAAATGACTTGGTCCCGCCCACTGAGAGTCCAATGCGGCTGCGGTCCATGAAAACTGAAGAGCGGTTGCTTTGCCAAGGGAACATCCATTGGATGGTTCTCCCCAGGTACCGCCCACTCCTGTCTGTCAAGCTTGCTGGACCAATGGCCGTATGGCTGGCCGCTCCTTTGACGGGTTCCGCCGGCCCACACGTGACTCACCGGCGGCACTTGTGGCGGAACATGGAGGGGGGTTAAGGGGTGGGTGGGAAGAAAGCAATTCCTAGCCAATGAGATCTGGAAAGGGGCGTGGCTTAAGCCGAGACCGCGAATCGGCGGGATGGAAAAAAAAATCCCCATCAGTTCAGGCCTATAAGGAAAGCGGGGGGGGGGACAGAGTAGGCGTGTCCACGGGGCGAGGCGGGAGCCAATCCGCGAAGGGAGGCGGGCCGGGAGAGTTCTAGCAGGTTCCAGAAGGCGGGGTGGGAAGAGGAAAGGCGGGCGGAGGAAGGGAAGGAAGGAGCGGCGGAGACCAGGCGGGCCGTTGCGGGCACTCTCCGGCGCGATGGAGAAGGTGGGACACCGCGGGAGCAGGCCTCGCGCGAGGGCCTCTGGGAAAGGCGGGAGCCAATCCGCGAAGGGAGGCGGGCCGGGAGAGTTCTAGCAGGTTCCAGAAGGCGGGGTGGGAAGAGGAAAGGCGGGCGGAGGAAGGGAAGGAAGGAGCGGCGGAGACCAGGCGGGCCGTTGCGGGCACTCTCCGGCGCGATGGAGAAGGTGGGACACCGCGGGAGCAGGCCTCGCGCGAGGGCCTCTGGGAAGATGGAGGGCAAAGCCTGAGGCGGGGGAAGGGGAGCCCTGA